CCATTGTCAACTGGTATCGTATCCCAATGAATTGAGGCACAAGTAACTACTGTTATGGTGAGGTTGACCTCATGCATTAAACATATTCATTTCCCTCTTCTAATGCATGAGTCGACACATGTGGCAGGACTTACCGCGCTGATAGTGCTTTTAAGATACCAACACCCACTATCCCCCCAAGACAAGCTTTCGTGCGAACCTCTGACAAAGAACAGTGGTAGCGCTGAGATGTACAACATGTGAATAATTCTATCCGAGAAAATCATATTCCATGGAAATTCTGCATCGATATTTGCCCTGGGGATACCAAAGCAATGATAGGAAAGGTTGCTTGTGTTGTGACAAGGCTCAATACCGTCGCAAAAGCATTCGCAGGTAGCCAATGTATTCTTCACCGACAAGTATACTTGACGTAAAAAAATGCCACCCAATCTCAGAACTTTCCTCCATAAGGCGGTGAAAATAATTTGATTAACTTTCGGCCTCTGAACAGCCGACTGTTAAAGATTCTGTGTGACAACATCTTTATTGATCCATACTGAAGTAAAATGGCCCTCCTGTGGCAAACTAATGACGTACCAAAGTTTTTGCTTTCTTCATAGGTCACCATTTTGATTTGCAGTTCCAGATGACTAACAGAAAGTGGTTGGCAAGACTTGCTTTTTGTCCGATAACTTCGCAAATAATGAGGTAACTCTAGCACTGCAAAAATTATTGCGACTGTGCTCAATGCTAATGATAAAATTCGAGGTTCAAACGAAAGTTAGAGTTTTGGGCGATTTGACAGCTTTCCGGCAATAAAAGACATTTTACAAGAGATGTACGGACCACCAAGCTTCCGGAGTATCTGTCTGATGAAATGATGCAGTGTTTGGAAGATCTTTCAGAAGTCTTGTCTCAGTATTTCCCAACAAATCCTCATTTCACCTCTCTTCAGTATGAGAAATTGATCGACTTGATGCCAGATTCCTCCTTTCAGAAAGATTTTCACGAATACCCTATCACAGCAAAAACAGCTGTCATCATACTTTTCCCATTTAGCACAACTTATCTATGTGAAAGTGCATTTTCGCATCGCACTTATATCAAAACAAAGTACCGCAATAGACTTGAAGATGAACCATACATAAGGTTGCAGCTTTCCTCCATCACACCATATATCAAGCAAGTCAGCGTTGCATGTAAGAAACAATTTCATCGCACACATTAAGCCATGATGTATGTTGTTCTTTCCACCTAAATTCAGCAGCTTTCATTTATACTCACATACATGAACACCCGTGTCAATTCAGTGTGCAGCAATACATGTTTCCGGAACACTGCGCCTCATTTTATATTTTAATAAACCCTAGCCCTTTGGTTAACAATATAGTAAGTTCGTCTGGAGTACGAGGTTCCACTAAAATGGAGTCCAAGGGCCAAAAGGTTTGAAAATCCATGGATAAGGGCAATGTTCCAGTGAAATTGTAACGGCCGATTTAAAGGCCCCGGTCACCAAGACAATTTGTACATTGGAATGAGTACATACTTCATAGCCCCATGTCGTCATCTTCCTGCTACTGTAACAATTCGGTCGGCCGCATAAGCTCCTGTGGGATTGGCTTGATGAGAGGCATCAACCCGGTCACGAAACACATGTATTGCATATATGCAACGAGTTACGGGCAATTGTCAGCGCGGCTAAGAGGTGCTACCTGCAGCTTTTTAATTGTTAACCACCACCCAGATACTGTGGCTAGTGTTGCACTTGTACACTACATGGTCTGCTGTCTGCGCGCATGTGTTATCGAACACCCGACGTGTATAGTCCCATTGGGTATGTCAGGCCCGGGTTCACTTGCTGCTGCCACACCAATTAATGGCCCCATCGGCTCGCCTGCCGTTTATGGGGCAGACAGGTGCGTGTAGCTGGAACAACCCAGCGACCGCTTCATATGCACCCTGCACGCATGTTTTCTCCAAATTTTCGTCAACATTGAGCCTGTTTGAGGAGGATCGTGTCCTTGATCCGGACCAACCATAGTTCTCCTACACATGCTTCCCGGTCGTATTCCTTGGGGTTCGCACTGCACTTCGGGTACGTAGATGCAGTTATCAGTAAGAGAGCTCAACTCACCCACATTCACACTAGATCAGGGAACGAATGTCACCTATTGCTATGTCATCAAACTTCGGTGTCTTCTTGCACGCCAAGCTAACGTTCGACCACCGGTGCCTTCGCAGTTTGGCTCACCTGTTTGGAACACTGCGTGAGCAGCGAGCCTGTTCGACGTCTTGTTTACTGCACAGGAAAAGGAAGTGAATCCCTCAGCACCGTCATTTTACGCACTAGGTTCCGATGGCTCGGCCACGTGTTACGCATGCCATCCCGCCGGCTCCTACGTTGTTTGCGCGACCGAGGTTGTGGATGGGAAAAGAGGAGAGGTGGTCAACTCCGAAATTGGCCTCGGTTGGAGCCTCTCGGCTCCCTGGTTAGGGCCCAGAAGACAATGAACAAGCTAGCCTGGATACACTTTTAGACATGACTAGAAGCCGACCTCAATAATGTTTGTGTTATGAGTTTCTTTGCCCCCCTTTCCTAGCATATTATAAATTTTACACACCATACCGGCTGGTAACTTTCCGGAACGATATCCATCTGTTACTGGTGACTCATTTGGCATGCCTCGGTTGCATTTTCTTCTTATATATTGCGGCACACTAGCTGGAGTGTGTTCCTTCTCTAGCTAACGTGTACCCTAAGCACAGTACTATTTCGTTTATCTACGCGTGTTTCCTAACTGTGTGTTCCCCCCCTCCCGTTCAAGCGTGAATCGTGTACCCACAGTGTAAGCAGCAGCTATTCGCTGCCGTAGAGCATTTTTCTTTGAAACCTGCGCGCTAGCCTAGTTCGACAGTAAAAGCCTAACGTGAACCTGACACTTGACCTCGTACAAAGGCAGGTCAGTTTCCTTGGATCAATGACATGTCTATTACCCTCTCAACACCAGCTCATGTTATACAAGCAAAGCGTATTCGTGCAGCCAGATGTTCGCTCACCTTCGCCCTGTGCCTGGCATAATAGCGGACGCGTTATCGATTAGTATTTTACGCCGTACCATCTGTTTACAGCTTATCGACCTACATCCGCGTTTTGTTCGATTTCGAGTCCGATAACCGTTGGCTTTCGTGCTTCCGGTTGATGACGATTTGTGTCGGGGACTGCGCAGTTGATTACGAGGTGTTTTTGCATCTCTGCAAACTGGCATTCACCCACTGCAGGCTAGCAGTGCTTTTTGCTGAATGTATAGCACAGTAAAAACTGTGAGTGATATTAACATGCCGCTACCTTCGGAACCTCGCTGGTATACGATGGCTATGTTGCATTAGTAATGATGACGTTCATTGTCCGATTTACGAGTCAGACAGACCGCCAATCGTTCTGCAATATGGGACACAGCTCCGGTGGTTTCGGTTAAGTGCTTCGTATTCCTGCTCAACTAATTTTTTCACCCGTTTCCCAGGGTTGGAAGCAGTCGAAATTGGCGAGATTTATATCAATGAGTTTCACTCCGATCAAGCCGCCACCGTTTTACTCGTCTGCATACATCAGTTGCAATTTGTTTCTGCATTTTTGCCATACAGTTGTGGACCCTGACATACAAATTCCCTGTTTCGGAATTTGGTCCACTGGATTTCGAACAGTGCGCCACTTGTCAGTTCATCCTCATGCTGTCTGCCTTGGATACTTAGTCGAGTGCCCCAGCTGGGGAACAGTCTGTTCGTGCCCCGCTTCAGCTACTTTATACTGATTAAATCTGAGCATTGGCATTGTCAGTCGAAAATAGTGTTTAACTTATTAACCGACAACAATCTCGAGACTTCTTTTCGTCAACGCAGAGAGATGACATAGGTATGTGTTTCTGCTTGTATTGTGTTTGCGACTGCGGAGAACAGTCGAAGTGTTGACGTATCACCGTCGATGTCTTCTCTCTATCTTGACGAAGTGGTTGAAAGGGTATCGCTTTTTTACTTCTCCAGACTGTTTTCCTTGTCTCAGTCTTGTAAGAGACCCAGGAACCGCGCCTCGGTTTCACAGCCAAACCGCGACGATTGATTGACCTGAGAAATGAATTCAGGATGCTAGGAAATTTGGCCACGCTGTCATCAATCTCTGCGACCCATTCACCATAGACCATTTAGCGGAAAGCCGATTCTTTTCCATCAACCCACTTAGATGTTATCAACCAATCCTACAACCCCTTATTGACAAGTGCGAACTTTGACGTTGCATGGAGGCAACCTAAGGCTTATTGTAGCATCTGCGTGGTCAGCTCCATGTCTACAATCTCCCCGATCGATTATCTTTCCATACTGGGGCGTATCTGACTGCAGCTCACTGGTAAGGCAGTTGGTCTTCAGACCCTGCCGTTCTATCGAGGCGAACCCGGATTACCTTTGACGCTGCCTACTACATCCAGAATGCCTCTGACAGTATGTTACGATTCGTCGGGCAGCTCCTGTTCCTTTAAGTTGTGATTGATATCACCCACTTTCTGGAAGTCTTCTTTCTCAGACATCCAGTGTCAGTCATTGCGGCGGAGTGATTCAGAATGCCCGGTTGTCAGAGCTTTGAAACTGTTGTCCGCATCTGTAGCATCCTCCCCGGACAAACCCGGTTCATGCACTCCTTAGTGAGCACTGCTGTGTGTATGCACACAACTTTAGGGCATTTTCGTTCTTGGCCGCCCTCAACGTGTATCATAAAACGTCCCGTGCTACATAGTCCGGACACCGATGTGGAGGTTGCGACGGGATATATTGTGATGAATGTATCCTTTTTGGCTACAATCAGTTGTGTTACTTACGGATATTGTCCCCATAACTGGAAAGTTCCTCATTCTTCTTTATCCGATGCACTACATTTGTATCCTAAACTGTGGGCCTATCTTCTGTCAACACCATTTTTCCGCGTCTCCCCTGCTAGCTTCTTGGTCATTTCACTGTCTTTTTCGCACTAGCAGTCGGATGAAGAACACCAGATGGGTTTGGATGGTTTATCCAGTTTGGGAGCTCCAATCCTCTTAGAATGCATCTCGTCGGAGACTTCCGAGGCCGCTGCAACCACAGTTCTCGTCCCGGAGTCCGGCAACGACGTTCAATCGACAACCCAAGTTTCTGCAGCCGCATCTTCGTTGCACAAGTCATTGTCGGGTGACCCGTCACAGCATCACCAGCAGTTGGATGAAGCCACCTCATCAACCGTGAAGGACCCAGAGTTGAAACTTCCTGAGTACGTTTCAAGTGTTTGACAGAAACTATCTACCTTAAATATCAATGGGTTTTTTTCCGAACATTCCACATCGAATTCTCAGCTTGCTTGATGCTCATTCTCAATGCTTTCGCACTGTTGGTACCACGCAATTGCTGTAGACCGTTTTGAGTGATTATCAATTGGGATATATTCCAGCTCACCTCCTCTGTCATATATGTTGGTGACTTGTATAGGACGGGGTTGACCCCTGTGTTGTGGGGCTCTCCTTTCTGGAAACGCAACAGTATTTCACTACAACATGTGTATAACTCACTACGGTTCTTGACCAAATCTGATAACGTCCGTAGCCAAAAACTATTGTTGTTTTTGAGCCCCATCCATGTGTTCGCATCCAACCAATGTCATCGCTTACGTCGGACACATGCCGAAATTGTGTGCCTCAGTGGTAGACAGTCAGTACTAATGTGTTCTTTGTAATCGCACACTGACGATTCTCCAAAGACATTGGGGTTCAGAAATAGCCGTGAGTGGTCCAAGACTAACAGATCTAGAGATAAACTACTCGCTTCTTGGGTTGAACATTTGCTTTCTATTACTTATACACATCTACGTTTGTACGGGTGAAAAGATGTTACATCTGTCTGAGCGGGTGCAGAAAGTCAATTGGTTCGGTGATCCGAAGTATGCTTTGGAGTCCTAAGTTACTTGACTGCGTCATGATGACCATACTTGCTTACTGGGCAGTTGCGAACGCTTAGGCCCCCATCGGTGGATGTGACAAGGTTAGTATTTTGTGCCAGGGATTATTTCGTCTCTCCCCGATTGTACGTTCAGCTTATCCGCTGAACAGTTTGTAGGAGATCGTTTGCTTTGAAACCTACTGCTTTTTCCTAGACGCTGTCATTGTTGTTGTTCTGTTTGTGTTCCCCCTTTTTTTAGTTCTTCCGTTGTTCCGCACCACGTCGAGCCCACGAGGAAGCGAGCAACAAGAGATGAATTCGATGCCAATTGGGCAGCGTTTTTGAGCAACCTCGTGTGGTCAAGCTTGTGTTTTCCGAATACTGAGGAATCCCGTCCTCCACTGGATTAGTCTCACAGCGCCGTCCACGTACAGTTTTTTCTCTCCCCCCCCCGAGGTTCCCTCTTTTTTGATCCATTCAGTTTAGTCACATGAACACTGAACTTTGCGCATGTAAGTCTCTTTTCAATTTTGTGGAACGCCCTCTTTCGATGACCAACTACTTTTGGTAGTTCTATTATTCTCTTGTATAGGATCCCGTGCCGCACGTGGGGGCATTGTCTCACAATTTCACCTTTCGTTTATCCACACCTTCCCATTGGTCCCAATTTCTGTTCCATTTGCCAAACAATCTCCGCTCCTGGTTCACCCCTCCGCCTGTCATTTATCGTTCCGTTTGCAACACTCAACAACTGTGATAGGTTCGAGTTAGCCTTGTACGGTGATATGTGTGGATTCGTCGTTCACTCACCCCGGCGGACAATGCCCTACCAAAATTGGGCGTCGATTTTTACAATGCGAATCACAGATAAGTCTTGCCTGTTTAACTTTTGGTCACCTCCCTACCTGATACTACCGCTGTTAGTCCGATGGGTGTGGACCACTTCGTAGCCGCACACGCGGGCACCATCAACTGGATCTGACGACTTGTACATTCATGGTGTACCATTGAAACACATTTAAGGTGCATTTGTAAATGTAGTGTCAGTTCAATTCAGTTTCTCTCCCCAAATAGTCGATCAGAGATGCACGTCTTTATAACAATAATATTGTGTAGCGAGAGTGGCCGGATCACGATAACAGAATTGAAGTATTCACAATAGACTACTGGCGAGTGTCGTCCACAGTGATTGAAAAAGAGGCACCAACAAATACAACATACCTATCAGCATTCTGCAACCAACCACTAAGTGTACACTAAGATGATAATTCTATTTTGTGTATTACACAACATACTAAGGCAATTCGGAGGAATCTCCAGATTGCTACAATTGTTACTGATAAGGAGAACTCTGTAGGATATGAAATCACCAACTCATACAAGGTGTTCATCAACTGCTTTTGTCCATCACATGCTTCCCATTCTGGAAGGTAGCAGCTACCAGCCCCACCTAGCCTTCTGGTGTGGTTCTGTCTGTTGTTCTCTTATCGTATTAACTATCCACCACGAGGTTTAACTCAACTGTGCGAAGTCTTGACAACAATTGCACGCGGAAACATTCGGCTGACAGGAATGCGGCAGAACACATCGCCGTGCGAAGGGTGATGATTCGTGTTCAAGAGCCATTCTGGCGATATACCAGAGAGCTTGTTGCCGAATGTCTGGTGGCGAATTTCAATGCTGCAAGCACACCGGTATGTTGAGAACGCAGTGCAGTGCTTATGAGTTGTGTACCAGGGAGCGCAGGTCCAGGTGACACTGTACTGGAGAACATTTGGGCCCATCTGCGCACTTCGTTCGTGGTGTTGTTTTTGCTCTCCGTTCCGCTGCGCACTTTCATACACAACGTGTCGGCGGTGATTTCTTTGTGCACTACGCGTCTTTCGTCTGCAGTGATCCGTGATTTATCTGACTTCAACACGCCTGCTTGTTCTCCATACTACTCATTAGCAGCGCACCACAAGTGGTCGAACACAGTCGGTTTCCCACTGCTTTCACTGCACACCGGCCCGGTCTCTAATCCATACAATCACACTGGCCGCATCACCGCGCTGTAAACTCTTCCCTCAACCAATAGGACATGTATTCTACTGTTTCCATGGGTGAGTGAGTTTTTTGTGCGACAATCTGAGCTTTGGCGATGCCACCGACAATGTCCTCGGTAACGCGAAGTAAACAAGTGTACCGACGTGTCATAATTCCAACTGTTCATGTTGTCATGGTCCCCAAAGTCTCTCCGGTCGCTCTGATTGGTGGATAAGAAGATGGCCTTCAAGTACCAGTTTATTCACAAAAAGACAGGGCACATGTTTGCGGTACTTATATGGCGCGGTTGACTTTCGTGAACGTTCTTCCTTCTCCCTACCAGCGCCTAGCCTAAAGGTAAAGAGCTTGTCTTTTAATCTCGTGCCGCGGTTTCGATCCTGCGTATGGGCAGGGCGACCCTCGCATGTATAACCGGTGGTGGTTGCGCAGCAGCGAAGCGCCGGTACACCTTTTTTTGCCTTTGTTCTCCTTCATTCTTTACTTATCAATACTAATAATATCCTGTTTTGGAGTACTCTTCTGATCCACCAATGCCATTTTCTTACTGATTTTTAGATTAAAGACCCGATTTTAGGTATATGTGTTTCCCTCTGTTCGATTACTTAGGAGGTCCTCCTAACAGGTATCAAGTCGTCCCAATTCGCTAGCCGTATACTTAAATATGCAAGCACATAAGAAATTGGGCACCATTAAACCAAGTGAATAAACTTGTGTTCTCGACGATGCGAGATACGACTGTAACGACATACAACTTGAGTCACAGATGGGTCAGGGAAGTTAACTACTCAGATAATGACGTTTGGAAGGGTGTCAATGGCGTATAAAAATGATTAACTGGAATTATTTTCTGTTGACTGACCGTCAACCACTCTCGTAAACATTAATATAAAACAGCTGACTCGCAGTAGACAATATGGTGGTGAAACACGTTCTGGGTCATATGAAACCTGGACCCTGCTCGTTCGCTTGGCTTGTTCCCATGGAATAATCAACCAGTTTGATCACATTTTGTACAATCAAGAACTTGTTGACACATTTGCGAAATTCATGCTCAAGACTGCAGGAACGTATTTTGACTAGTCCCTCTCTTAAAAAGCGTCTGCGGCGCTGTTAGCCCTTGATTTGGATTCCACCACTGAATTTTGTGTTGTGTATTATAAACGGCTGATTGCGTCAATGTTGTTATGCTGTGATTAGAAACGTGTATATATTATTTGCGAGTTATTGAAAAATACGACTAGGCTGCGTTTCGTACGCCGTAGTCAGAGCGGATCAAGCCGAAACTTATCGCATCGTTCATAATCTTCCATTTCTGATGAAGCACTTGGAAAATGCTCTGTGAATCCTTGCTGTACTTGTTCCAACGCGATAATTTTTGAGCTGCTATACACTAGTAAACAATATTAAAGCGTAGGTCGAACAGTAATATATATATATATATATATATATATATATATATATATATATATATATGAAGCATTGACTCTTATGGAACTATTGTCCTGAATATCGATCCAATATTACCTTGCCCTCGCGGTAGCATTGTCCATTTGTTCACAGAAGTCACCTGAACATGCGCATCATAATCCCAGGTCCCGTGTTTTACGACAGAGATTATTTGGCTTCCTCTCAAGATTCTGATTGTTGTGAATCAGTTTGCACTTGAAGGACATTGCACAACTGTTTCCAATTTGATCACCATTTTTCAGACCCATGGAGACCGTGTTTTATCATGTTGACATCATTGGGGTTATCCGGACTGAGCAATTTTGACGCTGTCGGCCGAGTAACACGATGTATCTAAGTTTATTACGTTGGACATTTGGTTAACATATACTGAGATCAGCAGCGGCCTCAGGACAATCTATTGGCGTATTCCGTAACGCTTGCCTAGCAGCCAGATCTGGTCCAGGGATACATTACAATAGTAAGCCTGACAAACTCTGAAAATGGTCACTGATCATCATTTTGCTCACATAGGTAGGGTCAGGGCAACCCTGAGAAGCTTCACTTAAAGTGATGAATTCATCGAGCCATTCACGGATTTGGGGCGCACCTTTTGGCAGTTCTGCCATTTCCATTTCGCGAAACGTGTCGCGATTAGAGCACCGCTCGAAATAAACCGTTTATTTCTTTCTATCAATTTTAGTTATTTTGGAGCCAGACTCCTACCCTGAGTGATTTTGCGGTGTCTTCCGCATTTAGGGAATGTGTTGCGTGCATTCTGGCAAGACGTCCGCCGTCGCGATCCATCTTACGAACTTTGATTCGAGCACCGAAACAAAGTACACCCAAATGCCCCTGAATTTAGTTGAGGAAGACAAGAGTAAAGGATGAACTGAAACCTTGTTTTTTTTTAAACTAGACTCGCTCCTGTGGATCATCAGTTGAAGGAGGGGAATTCAGTGCGATGGCATGATGGGTTTATTTGCGTTGTGAACCGCAGCATCCTGAGTCGTTGTTCTCAGCCTTCCGCCTCTTAGCCCATGCCAACCGTTTCACTGGGCAGATTGCGCAACACTCCGGTTCTGTTTGCAAAAGTGCCCCCACCCGCAACCGCTTCTGTTTCACCCGTTTTGCCTCAATCATCTGATGCACTGCGCGACTATTGTGTGAGCCTTGCTATTGCACATGCAACATAATTTGTAGTAGTTTAGGCTTTGGGTTTTTTTTCTATATTTGCATACAATTTCTGCTCGGACATCTCTGTTGTCGTCTCTGTGTGTTTCGGTTGTTGAGTTGAACCCCAGTAGACTGACCAAAGCGTAGCACTGCTGGCTTCGATTGGGGCCATGTCACAACGCTAATATTGACCATTTATCGTTGTACCGGTAGCGTTTGTGTCCTTCTTGTGTCCAGTAAGGCGATTTATCAGCATGCACTGGGTGTCTATCAGAGTATGCAGGTACGCCACAGTGTGTCCATTAAATGAGCTGACCAACGTACTGCTATTGCTCCTAGTTGACTCTTTCGAGTCCATGTGAGCTTTTGGAGCTACGGAGAGAGCGCATCCTAAAGGCCGGAACCAGGTGACGGCTTCATGATTGTTTGGTGGATTCAGGACTTTGCTAGCTGTTCTATAGAACGTTTGGCTCGATCTTCAGCACACCGTGCTACTCTGCTAATTCGCTTCACACCCAATCGGAAGCTCATCGATTGACAACCAATGAATTGTTTCAGCCCACACCTGGGTACATCAGTTGAGATGCTTTATGTAAAACGTAATAGGTCTGGCCAACCATTTATGGGTTACTGAAACGGAAAAGTGCCAAATTTATTCCAAGCATCACTCGGAGTCCTTAATGGACGAAATGAGAATGTGCTCATACTGAGACTGGACAAAGAAACAAGGGTAGTTCTAATGAAGAGATGATTATGTTCGAAAAGAGCATACAGTTCTAGCTGAAACGAGCCGCTTCGTTTGCGATGTGACAGGTCGTGATATGACCGAACAATTTTAGAGATCACTAATTCACGAGTTTTAAAAGCTAGTGAAGGTTGGACTGATTGACACGAAAATTTGGACAGTTTCTCCCTCCTGGGTTTCGACTTTCCCGTATGTAACGCCTACCGTAAACCCATAAGGAAGGTCTTGCGTCCAATCGTTTCAAAGGTAGCACAATAGCTAACCGTACATATTGAACAGATTCGGCGTAAAATAGCTGGGTACATCTCAGATTTGTTAACAATATAGGGGAGTTGAACATAGAAGGGAAACCTATGATCGCGTTTGATATGTGTTCATTATTCACCAATATACCCTTTGAAGTGGTTCTGAACGTAATAGGTGTACATGCCGGGAGTCGGGTTATCGGCTCACCCTCTGAAGCCATTACTATGTGCACGCATGAGGTCCAGTATAGGTTCGACGGCATCTTTTATCGACAGGTTGATGGGATGGAGTAGCTATGGACAGTCCACTTTTGCCTCTCTTGGCTAATCTCTTCATAGGCCACGTTGAAAACACAATGCTACGTCTTCACATACAAAACGTGCCTTCGTGTATTCGCTACATAGGTAACACGCCTTTTTAGACGCTGCCGAACAGACAGAACACTCACTGTGTGCTCTAAATAGATGCCACCACGCGATCGAATTCGCAGCTAAAACGAATCTTCTGTTGCCTACCATTTTTGGATGTTAATCTAGGAAGAATCCCAAACGGGGCACACATTCAATCTGTGTAACTCAATCCAACATGCATAAGTCAGTACTTTAACAGTTTCTGTGGGTTGCAATCGAGTTCTGTTTCGTACCACTAGATCTGCTCTTAAGAAACGATCGAATGTGAACTGCAACGCGTCTCCTCGACATTCCGTGCAAACGGATATCCTGAGAGAAGTTCATAACACGGCACTCAAACGTGAGAACGAGACACGTATGTGTGACCGACATCCGTAAGGCAACAAGTGTGTTCATAAGGTTACCATTCAAGGGAAATCACAAATGACACGATTCCAATATCGCCTGCGTAAATTCACCAAGAGAAAACTTGTCGGCAGATTGATAGTGTGGCGACGGCTATCCCAGTAGGTCCGTTACTAGTAGATGGGCAGATTACATCATACACTCGGCCACTCTGTACAAGCATTAGGTTGATGACATATTGCTAGTCATTGACTCCGAGGTGAGCATAGCGCATGTAACCGAGACACTCAACAAAATGCATCCCCCAACCTTACCGTAACGCTCAGCAAGGCAGTTGCCTTCCGTATCTAGACGTGCGGATTACACGACGGTCAGACGTTTCCATCAGAAAGCTGACCTGGACTGGCCAATATCTGCATTTCACGAGTTTCTTTCTAATCCATCGCAAACGCTGTCTTGTCCGGACACTGTTTTATCGGGCCAACATGATCTGCACCCCAGACACCATAGAAGCAGAGAGGAACTTGCTATTCAACACGCATCAATCCAATGGTTATCCGTTAAAGTTTATTGAGCGTCACTGTGAAACAAACAGGCAAGATCGTACGCTGACAGTCCTAAAGAAGCCCATTTTCATTGAGTTACCTTTCAAAGGTGGCATAAGTGCCTTATTGAAAAGAGCGTACAAAACGGCGGAATTGCGGCTGCTC